TCTAGCCATACAAAAAAAGAAGATTGAACAGTGATTTCACAGATTTTGCATTAGTTAATCTGGGATAGAGAGGCTTCAAAGATCCCATCAGTTAATTCTCTCAGCACTTGTGGAAATTTCTGGCACATTGTGCTAAAGCTGGTTTGAAATCCAAGCTGAGAATCACTGCCTTAAAAAAGCTGATCTCCTCTGTGGTGATATTAAAAAGAGAGTAACTAAAACTCCCCTTGTGTGGAATTGGACTGAAGCTGATGTCTCAGAAAACACTTTGAATATTATCATATTCAACGTTATCCAAAGTAGTCAGTGAAACTGTAGTTATCAGTCAGGGATCTGTAATACCAGTTTAATTCCAAATGCTTACAGAAAGTGTTCCCTAAATTCATTGTTTTCTAACTATACTAAAAGCAGGGATTTTTTTTCCTCTTGGCGAGCTGCAGTGCCACTTTCACCTTTGCAAACAGACCTACTAAATAATAGTCGTTTGCAATCTGTGAATTTCCCTCCTCTTATCAATTATTAAGTATCATAAACCTTCTGTTTGGATAATCTTGGCACCACTTTAAGCGTTAACAGTAAATTTATTTTTAATTAAATCTGTGCATTGAGAATAAAACGAGGCTCTTCTGCATACTAACCAGAACACATATGCCACCTCTACTTATTATCAAAAACTCTGATAATGCTTATGGAAGTTGGAAAGGCGACAGTTCATTGTCTGTGTCCCATTTAACTTCAGTGGTATTAGTTAAAAACAGCCAAAGCAAGTAACTGCCATTTCCTTAGAAGGGTTTGCTGAGAGCATTCCCCTTTTTGCAAAGTAATTCTTTAATATAGTTCAGGATATTCTTGTTTCAGTGTAGTTACAGGTGACCAGGAAACATGGGGTATTTAGTGTGCTGGATATGTTTCCGGGACAGCGCTTTGGGATACAGAGAAAACGTTTTCCTTGTCAGATGCGTTGATCTGGAAGTTTAAAGATGTTACTGTTGTAGGTTGTGACTGATTTTTTTTCAGTATTATTATTATTTTGCTGGAATTTGTTTTCAAGGGCTGGAGTGAAGATTCATCATCTCTCCATTCCATGGGAGGAAAACCAGGTCGGCAAAAATAGTTCAGGAATGTTTTGACAGTTCAGTTCAGGAAACTTTCTGGTACCTAATGTAAGATGTGGCCGGGTGAAAATGCCTCTTCACGTGTGTTTTTGTTAACCTTTTTGCTAATAAGAGCAGTATCTGAAATCACCGAGCGCTTCTGCTGGGGACAGGAAGCCTCCCACCAGTGCTGTGAATCTCATCATTTATTTTTTCTAAGCCCTCTTTCCATTTGGAGCTGTGTGACATTAGCCCAAAGGGAAACACCAGGCCAGCGGCTTGCACTGGGCAGCCATTGTCTTATCTGTCACAGCAAGAACGCGTGAAGCTGTTTGCATAGCGTGCTAACTCTGTCAGGGTCAGTTCCAGTCTGGGGCCGCTAGAAATGAAAAACATGCCCCAACCGGGACAAGAGCAGGGTCAACAGCTGGCAGAGGATATGGCAATCATTTATATAAATATGCTTTCTCAAGCCCACAAAAACAAAAAACCCAAACCCAACAGCTGGGAAGGGTTGGAAGTAGCCCCAAGGCTGGTTAGTTCCCTTCCAGATGGGGAGGTTAGACTGGGGCTAGCCAGGCTGCTCCACATAGACTTCCGATTCGCATTAGGAATAAAAGAGTGGAGGAAAGGAAGAAGGAAGAAAAGCTACAAGCATGACTGCTTTGTTTTTCACCTAACTTAATCAAATAAGTGAAGAGTTTCCGAGACGGAAGGCTTGCATTTATCGGTATTCACGCTCAGTTTTCTGTGTTTATCACGGTGTCTGATACACTCCTTAACTGTTTAAAAGGGAAGCATATACAATATATAGAATACTTTATATGTAATGTCATGGTCATTTGTAGACAGATTGAAGAATCATGTGAAGATTTATGCTCCACTCATGTCTTCTGAGTATTCAAATAGTCACATTGATGGAAGGGGAGACAAAGAAGTTTGCTGACTGTTCCTCTGAGTTTTAATTGGCAGATATGGTTTATTCCTATCGCTTTAACCTGCTCTTAGCACATTTTTATCTGTCAGATCAAAGTAGAATCCTAACCTTAACAACTACATACCATAGAATCATAGAATCATTTGGCTTGGAAAAGACCTTTAAGATCAACAAGTCCAAATAATGCAGAAAAGAAGTCTGAGATGTGAAAGGCTCGCCTTTCAGAGTTCACAACTGTGGAGTTAGGTTTTATGGTACGGAAAAGACTTGATGCAGCATTTCAAAGTCATCACGCAAATGCATTGCTCATAGTATAGGTGGACATTACATCAGTTGAACAAATCCAGACCTTTACATTCTGTAGCTTTCATCCAAAGGCAATTAAAAGAATGTTTTTCAGGACTGGTTTCCTAATGGTATCTTTTGCTGTTGAGGCAAATCTCCTATAAAAGAGAATTTATAGGGAAGCAGAACGGGTTAGATTTCTCAGTGCAGTGTTCAGTAATGCATCTGTCCTTTAGCAAAATCTCTAACCTGTAAATTGCTGAGGACGTTGCTCATAACTTGTGCTTTGTGCTTTACTCTGCTGTTCTTTAATGTTAATTTAGAACATCCCTTTGATTAGAACTGGATGACATGTAAGAAGATCCTAGATTACTGAGGCCTGTTTCCAAAGTTGTCCGTGAAGGTGGAAGTTCACTGGAAGTGCAGAGGCTGTTTTCGTAGGAAAAGATGACAGTTGTTTCTTTTTCACACAAACTAATTTCCCATAAGAAATGAAGAAACTCAATTTTCGGTTATTTATCATCTTCTGAATAGTCATTAGTTCTTTTATTCAAAAGAACACACGTCTTTTAGTATTTGTGGTGTGAAACACGATACTTTCATAGTTTGAAAGTCCACATTTTCATTTGAGTTTGACAAAATCAAGCCCTTTATCTACAGTTTTCTGTGGTCTGTACTTTTCTTTAAGGTTTACTGTAGCAGCTTACAAGAGTGCAGTGATTGCCATGGTCACTTTCTGGTTTACTTTATGTTGGTGTCTTCTTCAGATATTAATAAAGAAACAAAACCCAACCTAACAAAAAAACCCTGCAGCAGCCAAGCTCCTTTTATGGCCAAAAGTAGGTACATTAGAAACACATCACCACATCTGCAGTGGGGAACGCTGAATCTCAACTTCAGGCTGGAGTGGCAAGCAGAAACTTAGGCAGCCCTTTCCTTCAACATCATTGATGTCTGCACAGTGATGTCAGGGAAGTTCTTTCCTGGTCTCTGATGGTGTTTTGTGACTATTAATTTTACATTATGATTCCCGTGTTTCATGCCATCCCAGCCAGTGATGTCAGTTCTTTGATGATCATGAAGTCAATACTTGAGCATCCAAGTTGAAAACTGGGACTTCAGAACTTCTTCATACATGGGGAGAGGATTTCTGTCCTTTACTGCTGCATGTGCAGATGCATAAAGACCTACATGAATGGCCAAAGCTGTATTTTCCGTTTACAGTTTGTCATATGTGTACCCACCCCTGTTTGGATTTGGAAAATGACTTATGGTCATGCAAATTCATCTTTTGGTTCTGTAAATAATTATCATCATAGAGGCCAAAAGAGATCCTGGATAGCTTATCAGCACTGCAGCTCTTCTGACTATGAAATCACAACTGTGCTGTGGGGGAAGGAGTCCTTTTCAACTTCTGAACGTTCAAACGACTTACAGTTGGAAAACAGAAGTAATATTCACATTAGCCGTGTGTGTATATTCTTGTATGTGATATCAATCTTCTGCGTTTGATCTTATCTCTCTTCCTCTTGGAAAAGACCAGTGAAACAAGGTAATTTAAAACTACCTGAACACATCCTTCCACCTTACTGTTAGGCCCTGAAGTCATAACCTCCTGACCCCAGAGGTTACGGGTCTAGTGCTTTTTATCCTCCCTGATTTCTCAGTATCTGCCCACTTCCTCCCGACATCGGAGCTTTGTTATATAAGGAAATTGGAAACACCGCCCGGCCGGTCCAGGGCCAGCAATCTCCCCCAGAGATAAGGGCCAGCCCCTGCCCTGGTGCAAGAGGAGTGTTGATTTTACATAGACATGTGCACCGAGGGTGTTTCGGAAAGCTGAAGTGGCTTTGCAGTGGCAAGGGAGGAGTACGTGTCCTGAAGAAATGAATCAACATTTTTACTCAGATACAGTAATTTATTTATTTTTAAAGTGAAAAATATATCTTGAGACTTCTACAGCTTAAAAGAATATATATAAAAGTCAGAATACTTCAGGGAGGTTCCAGTACCATAAAGGGTTACCAGGAGGTTTGATGGATGCATTAATAAACAATTTGATTTCTTTTGTAGTTGCTACCTTCAGGCTTCTGAATTTTTTCTCTTAACTCTTGTCTTTCTGAAGTAGGCACATAAAGGACCAGACATCAGGGGTTAGTGTTAAGAGGTGGATGCTTGAGCTAAGCTCTGCCTGCAAGGCAGTGAGCTCAAGGGACAATTTCAGCATTGGAGGGGGGAAGAGAACATAGCAATGTCAAAGTCAAGCAGTGTCATTTCTCCTAAAGATGGTTGTTAGACTTCTGCCTTTACAGAGTTAATTTTCTCAAGTGCCCACTTGTTTAGTTTCTGAGAAACAAAATCCCATAAAATAAGAGAACTGAATGGGATCTAGGTATTCTAAATTGGACAAGGAGTTTAAAGCAAGAGATGATGGTGGTCTATCACGTTAAAAGACTAAGGCATGCATTGGTTGAAACCCAAAAGCAGTCATTAAGATGTCTGCATTAAAGGATATCAGTGTTTACAAAATAGTAATTCAAATATACTCCTGTACTTTTTGTTGTCTATAAAGCTTAGTATGTGTAAGAATAACACTGCATATGGCAGTGTTACTGTTGGAAACCCTCACAAATAGCAATAATTGCAACAACTATAATGAAGTACTGTAATCTGTTTCTTTACAGCTTTTGATAGAAGCACAAAGCAAGGTGAGAGGAAATGTGAAGTATTTCAAGTACTATTCCGTGAAGTAACTGGTAGGAAGCATCTGAGACTGATAACATCCATGGGATGTGCTTGAATAATTTCAAATCCAGACTCCAGGTCAAATAAACTCTTTCAGGGCACACAATCTACCTTCCAAAACCTAAAAAAGTGTGTTTGTTTTTCACTGTAACAAATCTGGTGCTTAGAGGAATAAGCAGGCAAATGTTACTTGAGGCCAATCCAAGGGAAATGTGCAGCAGGGCTAAGAATGCAAGCTTCCCGTGGCAGTAATCTGCCGGCTTCTTGACAAAGAAAATCCACCATCTGTAACAACAGGGCTTCATGTGAATCTCTGAGCTCCATCACTTTCTTTTGAAGCACTTTTCAGTACAATTTTAGCTTTGTTGGTAACAAATAAACAAATTCCTATTCCTGGGAACTAGGATGGGTGGGTTGGAATAGGGCCCTAAATATCTCGGTGACAGTAGAGGCACGAGAATCTCTCAGATGCAGAAACGGGAGGAAGTGCTGCGCATTCAGCAAGAGGTAGCAAAATAATAATGGGTAGCAAGAGCTTTCTTCAGAAATTTTAGTAATTAAATGGTAAGCATATTGTCTGTTAATTAATATCTCTGGTTCTTGGAGTAAAATTCTGAAGCACATAAGATAGATTAAGGGAGGTAAATTTTAACTTATGTACTGGCAGTTTAAACTGTATTGTTGATTCAATCTCACTGAACTGCTCAACAAAGCACAACTGATCCATATTACTGAACAGAGCTTGAACAGGAAAGACCAAAGAAGAAGAAAAGACTGAAAAGTAAACCGTATGGTAGCAGACATGCTAAAAGCTTCATGTAATGAGCAAAGAAGAAGAATTCGTAAAATGAAACAGTAATTCCTTTCCAGAAGATTAACCAAATGGAAATGTTCAACACACAGGACTGGTTAATTAATAGTCAGGTCCATCATTTCACTGTAGGATTTTCCATTTAAGAAAGAGTCTCTCCTCTTGAAGCAGAGATTGGTAAATGATTCAAGTTTAATTATTTTTAAGTTTCAATTATTTTATTTCATTATTTTAAAGTCACTTTCGGGTTTACATAATACTAAACTTAACCCTCTTCTCTTAGTGGTTTTCAGTTCCTTGCCTTTAGGATGAATTTCCTCTTCCTCCTGTTACATTGATTGGTGGAGTTCTTGTTAAATATGATCATAATCTTATAGAAACTCCTGTTTCTATAATTGTAGTGTCAGAAGAATTAGTGCCTTGCCATGTACATATGCATAGTTGGCCTCAATTTTTATTATTTGGTGTTAACTTACTTGACCTTTACAAAGTCCCCTATAAATATGGCTTCACTCAAGAATTATTATTTCTGTATGAAATTTATACTACAAATATTTTTCCTTAGAAGTCACCTTTGGCTTTGAAGTGGCAAAACCAGTGAAAATAGTAACTTAAATGTAGCTTAAAGTCATTTCCTTCCTTCCTTTTCCTAGGAACATAGCTTTAAATGCATGTCTGCACCAGAGCAGGCTGACAAAGCGGGGTCTCTGTGGTGGCCACGCTAATGGACCTCTGTGCTGGCTCACTGGTGGCTGCAGAACTTCTCAGAGCAGGGCTGAGGAGTGTGTTTAAAAGCAGAGTGAGTTTCACTTGCAAAGTTTACATCTTTCGCTGGGTTGCTCACCCCCCAAAACACAAAATATCTCTTAAAGTAGAAGAGTTTGGTTTGGCTGCTGATGAGAAGAGCCATTTGAAAAATGGTAACCACATTGTGACTGTGTCCAAGGCATGTAGAGTTTGGATTCAGGAGTCATTTTAACTTGAATTTTGCTTTACAAAGAAAGCAGTAGAGCTAGACTAAAAGAAGGGATTCATAGTAGAAACACCCTCCCCATGAGTATTTCTTTATTCCTGTTTCCGAAGCAAGTTTGACTTTGGCATTAAATTTCAGTTGCTTCATGTCACGCCGTAGTTCTTACTTATGTTTAACAGGCATTGATCAAATGATTTCTTACTTAATCTTTTGCCTACCAACTGTGCTTTCACTAACTGGAACGTCACTTTTCTGCCACCTAAAGGAAGGAGGAATGCCCCATGGGTTCTTCCCCAAAAAGCAAGGCCTGTTTTCATCATGTAAACCAAGTGTTTCTCCCTAGTTGCTTGTTGCATTGTCTCATAATATAGGGAACAGAGGAACAGGGCACTTTAAAATCTCATCATAAACTGTGATTTAAACCCCAACATTTTAATGTAGATGTAATATGTAAGTAATTTATAAGGATTTTTTTTTTTTTATTATGGTTGTGGAGCATATAGGCCCCAGTCCAGCAAAGCACTTACATACAAGCTTAACTTCAAACATGCAAGGAGCTGAAGTCAAGTATGTGCTTAAGTACTTCCTTTGCTATATGCTGCCTGCCAGTGACACGCCGCGGTGTGTTTGATTTCCACAGTAGCAGGTGAGGCATTTTATAAATCTCTCCATATTATGAAGTGATTTCATGACAACTTTTAAACTTGAAATAATCATTCCTGGGTTTCTTGGCATCAGATGAATTCAACTCCCTCTATTCATACATAGGTTTGTAGTGTCTGCATTTAAAAATGTATAATTTCACCTTCTGGCAATGCCAGATCTCAGAGAGGCCAGATTGTTGGGGTTTTTTTTTCCTGTGTGTGAATTCAGAACAGCAGCAAGAACTTAAAGCTCCGTCACTGAGATAACAAGGTCAGTCGGTATCAATCTGTAGGGAATTTCTTGATGCTTTAACAGCTTATGTTGTGTTTGGTGAAACAAAACCAGGTACTGAGATGATTTGATGGATGAGTGTGTCAGTTCTGGCAGATGTCCTCAATCTGAAATCCTGTGCATTTCGCTTGCTTTTAAAGAAATAGGTCTTTAAAACCCCAATCAAAATTCAGACGTGCAGAAGAGTAACAGAGGGACGAGCCCGTGTGCAGATACGCCCTTTCACAGCTGGGCTTTTGGCAAAGTGTCATTCCTGCTGTTAAACATGGTGACCTTGCTGCCTATGATTTACTAACTGTTTTACAAACATTTCCTCACTCTGTGAGGTTTGATATGTTCTCCATCCTCAACAGCTCAACGGAGTCACTCAGCCACTGAGCCAAACCTGCCTTTGTTTACAGCTTTTCCGGAAATTTTCACGGAGGAAAAAAACTTTCTCCTTTTCCAATGTTTTATTTTTAAGTCAACACTTTCCTGTGGTTTATTTGTGCAGAGCAACATTCGGGTACAAGGTATTGCACCGTATCCAAGCGGGAATTGCTGCCTTTCTAAAAATAAAGCGGGGGTCATGTGAACCAGTGCAGAAAAATCTGAAGATACCAAATATTACAGGACCTTTACATTTGGTGCTTCTTTTTTTCCATAATATTCTGGGCCTGGATTTTTCTGAACTTTTTTTCCCACATCAGTTTCTATAATAGAACATAACGTAAAATGATGAAACACAGGAAGGAATCTTCTTTTAAACAAAATTATCAGTGTTAAAAATAACAATCCTATTTTCCCGCAGCGTGCGTTTTTTCTTGTAAGGGCTTTATTTAGTAGTCTTGCTATTAGATATAGCCAACGGGTCCAGTAATAGTTAAGTGGCACTTTATTTAATTAAAGGTTAATTTTCCTGAACACACACATGCCTTAAAGCCCCACAGATTTCATTTCATGGTTTGGGCAGGGAACTCAGAAATGGGGATGCTTTGGAGGAGGAAATGGGGCAGCTGTGTCTGGTCCTTTGCATTGAAACTTAGCACAAATTAAAATTAGAATGGGATGGGAATGTTTGCAGTAAGTGCTTTCACAGTGGAGATATGTTTCATGGAAATAGCCTTGTTCTGAGGAGTGTTTCTCGGGGTCAGGGTGGAGTTTCTAGTGAAAAGTGGGAGACAAGAATAACCTGGGCTGCTTTGACAAGGGCCCGCAGGGCTCCCCCACACCCAGGTAGCCAGGAGCTCTCAGGAGTTGGCAGTTCTTCTCTCTTTCCTTCTAAACCATACATTCATTTAACGTACTCGTTGTTGCTACTGAAAATGATTCTTGTCTTAGCAGGAGGAGAGACAAACTGTGAAACATGCTGCCCTACAAGAACTCCCTTTGTGTTCTTGAGTCTGAACCACCAGTTCTCTTTGATATATCTGAGTAAAGACATAAAATTAGCAGGTTTAGTGGGCATTATTTCATTAAGTTCCAGTTGATGAACAGGAGGCAAAGAAATTCCTAGATGATCGTGTCTTCTTTTGGGTGTGCAGTTATTAGTTTTAAATCTACTTTGTATACTTATTTTCGTTTCTGATCAGTATATTTTTTGAGCTATATCCCACAGAATCTGTACTTTTTGACCTATCTGAATAATAGAAGTTTTCTCTGGATTTTATGCCACTGAAGTAGATTATCTGAAGTAAAACTGAAATGACCTACAAAGGTGTCGGCATTGGACTCCTGCGCAGCAGAAATGGATGCTGCCAGAGTACCTTCTTGATACGTGTCTATTTATGTACTGTGGCTGTATTACATATATTGCATTTTTAATCCTGTGAAATACAAGTGAATTATTATTCTAAATCTTCTTTTTAAATGCATTAGATTATTAATGCTGTTAAAGGAAATACCCACAAATGGAATTACTCCTGGAGGTTTTGTTTGCTTGTTTTAATCAGAATCACTCAGGCGTTTGAAGTGAATTTCTATAGCAGGGTACCAAATGACAGAACCTTCACCATACAAAAGCCTTCATACATGGATGAAGAAGATTTTGAAAGCATTTTAGGTCTAGAAATCATGATGAGTCATGTAAAATGGGTTATTTAATGACAGTGTTGTAAGGAAATATTTTTGAATACTGTATCTCTTTAGTTTCCATACGTATATGGGATGGAAAGAGAAGCAGCAAGAGAAGTAATCTTGAATCCATCTCAGCCCCTGCAGTAGCAATGTGAGGACTGCCTGCCTGGAGCAGGACAGCATTCCCACTGTGGAGAAAACTGTTTCCTGCTTTGATTTTCTCTAAAATGTTAGTGTGAAAAACTGAAGAGTAAGTGACTGTTCTACAGCACAGCGTGTTCAGAGAAGTGGTTAAAAGGGAGTGAAAGTGGCAAAATGGGTCTTGAGTTTGTCTGCAGGAACAGCAACCCTGTGTTCCATGCGTGATGAGGAGTATTGCTTGTGACTTCAGGGGGGATCATTGCTTTTAAGAACACGCCTTCACTCAAGTTCTTCAGGGTATTTGGTAGTCTGCTGGGTTTCTTGGCTTGTGCTGTCCTTTAAGGAGGAAATACCACTGTATTTCAATTTTGGACTGTCATTTTCAGTCTGATTTTATTGCAGGTGTTGTGATTGAAACCATAAAGACTCACTAATAGACGCAGTGATTCAGTTTGTGATATTTTTATTCCTTTCAGGATTTGTTAGGGTTTTTTTCTCTCCAAACCTATTTTTAAAATGTTCTCATGCAGTTTGGGCTTTGTGTGACCTCATGTCAAGAAAAGCTGAGTGGACAAACCAGCACAAGGGCATGGCTTATCATGCCAGATGTGCCTTGGCCCTATCTTGAATTAAATCCATAGTTCTGGTGATGTCCATCATCCCAGAAATTAAAAGGACGCAAGGAATACGTCTGGCCTTATTTTGGGGTGGCGAAGAAAGTGACTGATAACAACATCTTATAAAGTAGATGTCCACAAATCAAGAAGCCAGGTATGAGTCCTTACCGTAGCTGTGTTTCAGAGGTAATCCTGGATGAATCCTGCCTGATGGGGGAGAGGTGCAGGAAGCAGAAAGGGAAAAAGACATACTTGCTTGTCCCTTGCTGTTGAAAACACAGCAGCCCTTGAAAGGTCTGGCTGCAGACTTCAGTCAGCTCACCAATGCTCTCAGCATGCTTGTGGTTCGAGTATATGATATAAGTAGCGTAGAGTGGTTTTGTTGCTATGGGAAAAGTGCTAAAAAAGGCCGTATCTCTTGTAGAGCTCAGATCCTTTGGGTATTTAATGTACAATTTCTGCTAAGGACACTCAGAATTATACCTCTGATTCTAAATTGCTTAAATGTTGAAACATATGGTCTTGTGTGCTGTTCATTGAGAAACAACTGCCTGTATCCAAGCTGCCAAATTCACATAAACTCACACTGTAGAAGCAGGGAATCTGCAGCAACTGAGCAGAACTTTGAAAGAGTGGTTGTACTAAAAGGCAAACCTGACGTATAGAAAAATGCTTAATTAAACTAGTGCCCTATATCGGTAACAGATAATTAAATGTTAATAGCTGAGAAGTTTTTCAATTAAAAATGGACTGTTTGTGTCCTCTTGATTTCTTGTGGGGGGCCAGGTTCGTGGAGCTGTCATTTACTGAGCTCTCTGCTACAGTAATCATTTTAATAAAATGCAATTATCTGCATAATTAATTTCTTTGACTGCTCTGCTGTGTCCTCCTTTTGCAGAGGCCAGAATGTCAAAGATCAAGTAGACTGAGGAAAATCAAAAATTCACATTGTGAAAGGCTATAAAAAAATACTTGGAATTTCAATGCATTGGCTTCTATTTATCTCAAATGTCAAGGGCAGTGTAAAATGTATTTTTAAAATGTGTTTTTGTATGGTTTGAGCCCATTCTTGGCGTAGTTGCGAATCTAGAGGGGCCATTGTTCTTTGAGAGAGTTTGAGGGGGTTTCTTTGTACAAAGTGACAAAAAGAAGACTTGGAGTACTGGGCTGCCATTGTTCCTGTGCGGCGCTGTAAAATTTGATTTGAAATTAGGACCTCGGGGCAAGCTCTTCAATAGCCAGTTTTTATTTTCTGCCAGCATTTTAATCACTCTTGGGCTTAAAGTGGATGACCAACATAATGCCTCTATGTTTAATAGAACAGTTCATATCTTGAAG